ACTTTGAAAAAGGCAACTTGTAAACGCACACCATGACTGAATATTACCTTATTTGCAGAATGATGACATTCAATTCGACTAATTGTCTTTTCAAGTGTTGGTTTTGTAGGGATTTGATTATTTACAGGTTTTTTTTCAGTTAGAGAACCACTGGAAAATCTGGGAGTATTGGATAGCTATTTCATCCTAGTTTGAAACTCTGCACCAGTTTTCACCGGAAAGTCCTGCGTTTGAATCCCTATGATTGTGCACATCTGAAGAGTCGATAAGTAGGTCAAAACAACTTTCCAGTACTCCCAGGTTTCCTAATGGTTCACTAGATGATATCAACTCGTAGCCAAACCTTTAATTGTCATTTAAAATATGAATGCCTTAACATCGTTTGATTTTCTCACTTAACCTGCTATCTATCACTTAAGTATATCACACACGAAACTTAAATTTTACGGTTTTCAGTGGTTCTATCCGTTCATATTCACTAGCCTTCACAATATTCCTGGACAGAAAGTCTGCGGTTGGTTCTTTAACTTTTATTATCAATACTTTATATTATAGATGTGTCTTTGACGGAGATGACTTCACCAACTAACTACCGAACTCCTGAAATTGATAGATATTTCCTATTTTAGATTATACAGTACATTAATTCAGTTGCAAAGTCTGAAGAACTCTTTTACCTCATCCTCACTCATTCGACACCAAATAAGTAAACAAAATATTACTTCAAATTTATTCAGTATAGGTTTGTTAAATATCAATGTTCGTATCATGAAAGATCATGGATTTTCACAACATGACAGTCGTATTTTCACAAACAAAAAGTTAAAACGGTAACTATAGCTGTCATCACTACTTACTTTCCTGTTAAGAACAAATAGCTTTTCAGAATAAGCATAACATAAGACTTCAATCTTTGTTGGTAAATGAATGACTGCGTCATATTCAACAACAAATTAGTTTTATTTATATTAGATGGTTGGAGGCAATCGGCCACAAGAAGCTTTGGATCTAGATTTCGTGCTGGTTGCACTCACCAGTCAGTCAGCAAGGCGTATCTGCAACCTTGAACGAACAACTTATTTCCCTTCTGAAAAGATTCAAACCCGCGTCAACCAGTGGGCGCTGCAGTCAGAGACGTTATCAGCCACTGAGCTATTCGGACACGCGATTGACCTCCTGTAGGACTGTATTGGATGCTTTTGATTGGACACTAGTCAATAACTAGTGTGATGTGTCCAGTCCATCTAATTTCATCAAACCAATGTGCACTGTGATGGCGAGCTAGCTAAATAGTGGCCACAATACAAATTCAGTCTGCACCAAAGAAAGGACTAGACACGTCACACTAGTTACTTGTGTCCAATCAAAATAGTTTTAATTAGATACTGCTGTCTTACTTGGCAGAGGACTCATTAGCAGTTTCAGTATAAGGTTTATTAGTGTGAAATATTCCCATATCATGAATTAAAAGTCACTCTGAACAAAGGATATTCTTTTCAATAATTTCTCTACTTCAGGTTCTTACGATTATAAAATGTAATATCTGTTGTCGTTACAATAATGGCCAGTTATGCGGCGGATACATTTTTTTTAGGTTGAATAACAAATTAGTAGTTGTAGGGTGTCAAAATAAATAGTAGTATTTGTGTGACAAACGTGCTAGGCTGAAATCGATTACAAACTATTTTGAAATAGGATACAGTGGCGGTTATTAGTCGTAATAGACTCACGGAATGTGGGGTAGGAAAACTGACAAGTCAATTCAAGGTTATAAAAGGTCTCAGATGAGTGGCTGGTACAAAGAAGTATGTATTAAACTGGAGATAATAAGACTGCAATGAGAGGTTCATAATGGAATAACCAATGTGTGAAATGAAACGGGTGGAGGCATATATTGAGAAAAGAGATAATATCACTAATAATAAGTCCGGATAGTATAAACGAAAAATTCGATAGTATTGAGAGAATGTTTGCATGACAGGTATAAATTATAACGAATAATAATAATTGCATTAATAATAAGTAAAGGAAATAAAAACAAAACCAAGAGGGTTAGGGGCAAGAAGCACTCTTGGTGAGAAGAAGAATCATCAATCCAAGTTTGGCGACGGTAGGAACAGCGTCTGGACGTGTTCTTTTTGGATACAAAGTTCTGATTTAGTTGATCTAATTGCAACAGCTTCAGCTATGTATGGGGGACGTAAGCGAGCTGTACATAATAACGGCTTTGGAATTTGGTACACAACCCTGAATACTGTGTTGGCATCAATGCGACGTCAAGTATCGACCAAGTGTGATAGAATCGAGCTTTTTATGCATTCATTTTCCTCTTTGCTGAACCAAGCTAGTAAATGTTCTCGAAACCGTGGATGAACCTGCCTAATCGTAGGCTCTATATAACTTGAAGCACAAAAACAATTGAAATGGTATATACACGAAGAAGAGCTAAGGTTATGTAAGCGATCTTTGAGTTGCTGGGTGAACATTGGACGGCTACTGAAGGATAGGAACAAATGTGCAGAGTAGAAAGTTTTCTCTATCGCCTTGGTTAAGCGTTGAGATAGAATCTCAATAACAGTACCTCCCCTGTATTGTAGACGTAAAAATAGAGGCTTTTTCTCCGCCGTTACCTGTTCATGTTTATGATTATTGCAACCTAGACTGGCTTTAATGAACTTCTGTGGATATCCGTTCTCGCTTAGAATATCCCTGATATAGCATAGTACCATTGTCTCTTCATTGAGTTTCACCAGCACCTCCCTTACTTCGTACACCCAACTAGCAGCGACTTCAGAATCACTTTAATGACTTAGAGCAGGTGTCAAAATTTTCATGCTTAAAAGCACGGTTACAAAAATCCTAGTAGACAGTCCCTTAGGCTTACACAAAAGTATGAAGTAATGGTATGACTTCACCATACTTTTCCATTCTAACCAGATAATACTTAGACGTTATTTCTCTATGCTTCATGCACATAGTTGACAGGAACCCCCATAGAGTGGAGTGCAAATCACAGACGTCTGAATTTAGTTCAGTTAACGCAGTGAAAACTTCCTCCCCGCCAACCACCGTTAAGCACACAGCAGGTCAGTCTCAGAATTCAGCTAAACCTCCGTCAGTGTGCTGATACTGTGGTTCATGGCAGTTTTTCAAATTTTCTCCCTTCAAGAAACATAAATGCCACAAGTGTCACTCCTTTGGACATAAAGAGGGTTACTGTCCACCATAGAAAAACTCCTCGGTGAGGAACAAACGTAGTTCTTTTAAGCCGAAACAATCCCCTGGAGTACAGACCATTTTCGCAATGCCCGAAGTCAATTTGCCAGTAGACAAACGTATCTTACCTTGTCTATTAGCAGCAATTCTATTCGTTTTCATTTGAATACGGCCTCAGATATCACCTTCATTTCGCGCAACACAAGGCACACTTTCAATACAAAGTCCTGATCGTAAGATTAACTAATCTGCTGTGGTAAAAGAACAATACTCAGTGTTAACAACGAAAATAATTCACAAGAATGGGTTTGTAAGGATTAGATTTGTTTTTTATGAGTTTGACCACGGGTTGATATCAGTTAGAGTACCATTGAAAACCACCAGCTGGGAGTACTGGACATCTGTTTGATCTGTCCTACCTTAGGAACCAGCGGCTGTACGCACCCACAGCCAGGGTTCGAACCCAGAACGTTCTAGTTACAAGGCAGGCTAACTAATCTATCATTCAGTTACCACTGGGACCCGACTCCTCAATGGCCAACCCATGAATTCTAACCTCTCCCAATTCGTGATTTAGGGCGACTACCAACCAATGTCATCGGTGGCACATACATCCTCACACTTGGCTAGATAGACCTCACTGGTCACGACTTCTCACTTCTCTAGTAAACTCCATCCTGTAGCAAGTCACTAGCGTGCATCAGATTAATTTTCAATAGTTGGTTTGTAAGGATTAGTTTTGTTTTTGTGAGTTTGACCACGGATTGATATCAGTTAGAGACCAATTGAAAACCAGCTGGGAGTACTGACCAGTGATGTCCAAAACGTCAAGTGTGAGGATAGATGTCTCACCAATCACATTGGTTGGTGGTCGCGCTAGACGCATTACAAATCGGCAAAAGTTAGAATTCATGGGTTGGCTGGCCATTGAAGAGTCGGGTCCCAGTGGTGGCTGAATGGTATACGAGTTAGATTGCCTTGTAACCGGAAGGTCCTGAGTCGAAATTTAGAATGGCGGAAACAGCTGTCCAGTACTCCCAGCTGGTAGTTTTCAATGGTTCTCTAACTGATATCAATCCGTGGTCAAACTCGTGAAAATAATTCCATCAACACTATTCACATGATGGAATTGATAGACATCAATCACTAGGTCGTCTCAGTTTAGAATCTTTCAGCAGCATGGACTAACTGGGGTTCAAATTCAGGGCCTTCCGGTTACAAGTCGAGCTCGAAAGCTATTCACCCCTTGGAATCCGTCCCAATGGCCCACAAATTCCAACTTATGTCAATTCGCGATACCTATATAATGCTACATATGGTTGTGTACTGATGAAGAGTCCCACACTAGGACTAAACAGCTCTCCAATACTCCCACCTGGTTTTCCAATGTTACTCTGATTGGTGTCAACTCTTCATCAGACCCGTAACCAATCAAATCCCTGCAAAGCAACACTTGATAAACAATCACTAGATTGCATTCCACTGTCTTTTTAGGCGGAGTCTAAAATTTAACCAAGGAAATTATCGAAAATCTAAAAATTTTGATGCAAACACACTGAAAATAGAATACCGTGTAATTTAGCTGCTTTTATCTTTTTGTCTCTGATAAATATTCCTCTGCTTTTCAAAAGTATTCAAATGCTTCATTACTTCAAAAAAATTTATTGAAACAATAAACATAGATAAAACTTGTAAAAATATATAAAGTCTGTGTGTGCGTGTCAGCAATAAGTTCGGAAGATTTAACAGTTTATTGACTCCATTTTCATTCTCCACAAAGTTGGTTATTCTTGTAAAGCTAATTTGTGAAAATTTTCCGTCCAGTTTACATGATTACAGATGATGTCAAGTGGATCATCTGTTTGTACTCGTCTTATTCCATGAGCGTTTACTGAACAGCCTAACTGCATTTTTCCACCATCTAAATATAAATCACAGACAATAGATATAAAGTGAATGGTTAGTGAACAAAGAATATTGTTTTCGATAACTTCATCATTAGGTTCTACAGTGAATGAATTAGTGTTATGGACAAAATTAATGTTGTTTAAATAACATCGAATCAATAATATTGATAGATTACAGTTCACTAACATTAACATAACGATAAATTGAATGTCAGAGAAATTAGGAAAGATAATAATGCACATTCATGAATTTATAATCTCCACTGAAGGCCGAGGCAGTAGTGTCTGGACTTGCTTCTTTTGCATACAAAGCAAATTGCGATAGCCTTTGCTGTTTAGAGCATGCGGTACCTCTATGTTTTTGGCAATTTATTTGGTACCTGGTTGATGATAGAGAAGGATTCTTCAATGCTGGTTTTGTGACCGGTTTCGACCAGATAGTCTAATATCGAAATAGTCTACGACCTCGCCTTTTAACCAGAAGGTGCTGGGTTCAAATCGTGGCGGTGGGTGCATACCGTTGAAGAATCTCAAACTAGGATGAAACAGCTGTTCAGTACTCCTAGGTTTACCAGTGGTTCTCTAAGCGATGTCAGCTCATGATGAAATCCTCCAACAAACCAATCAAAATAAATCCCTACAAAACCAATACTTGATAATATCGAAATGTTGATAGTTTTTACTACACTTTTATTTAGCCACATTGGTAGATGTTCCTGGGCACGAAAAATCAACTTCCTAGAGCAACAGCCAATATAACTCGTTCCACCACAAAAGCAGTTGAATTGGTAGATACAAATGGAAGTGGCTAGTCTAGGTACTTCATCTTTCAGCCCAGGAATCACCTGGTTGTGTAGAGAATAAGATGTGTAGTTTGTAATTATTTCACTTGGTATGTCGCCCTTGAATTGCAGTCCTATATAAAGCGGCTTCTTGTTTACAAATAGTGAGTAGTCCTTTTCCGCTTTCTTTGTCATGTGTTTTTTGATAAATTCGTCGGGATGGCTATTTTCAATCAAGGTATCATATGCAATGCTTAATTCATCTTCAGTTACTTCTTCTGAGCACATAGCTCTAACTCTGTGGCTGAGGATGCTCACTACATTTCTTTTGTTCTTGAGAGGAACGAAGCTACGAAGCTATGTGTATATTGTCCCGTCTATGTACTTTTCCCATGCAGATTTCTCTTTATACTAACATCTGGTTTTCTCGTAAGGAGGACTTATAGGAAGGCAATAATTCTGTTTTGTGATTCCTCTTCGTACGTGGATTTCGTAGCAGAACCTACTTCATTGAATTCAGTAATTATTGTACTGTAACAACAGAAGACAAGGGCCAGGCAACAGAATGTTTATTACGAAAAATCAACACATTATTGTAGGTTAATGTTAGTAGAAAATACAGTCTGTTGATTGGTTGTTTCTCACACAAAGTTAACCTTGCATCTCTTGTGGCTGTGTCAGTTCATCTATATGTTAACTGTATCCGCCTGTCCATCTTGACCTTGTTTTCACATGACTAACATTGACCTCAATTACTGTCAACCAATTTGGCTAGCAACCATCTCTCACCACAGTACTCCTATTTGAATCGTTATCACAAAGAAGGAAGGAGTCATCCGTTTACCAGCAATAAAATGAGAACTTTCTGATGAAGTTGTTAAAATGTCCGTTTTCTAGTTTACTTAAAAAGAAATCTGCCGAAATGGGACACAATGGAGAGCCCGTCGCCACCCCGTCCACTTGTTTGTAAAGTGTGCCGTTAAATTTGAAATTTACATTCATGATACACCTTAAAAACAATTCTTTTAGGATTTCCATTGGGATGCTAATTTTATCAAAACTCACCAATTATGTTAGCAGAAGATTAACATTGATAAACGATGCATCTGTTGGTATTAGAAGTTTGGGGACAGTCGGCCACAGGAAGCCTTGGCTGACTGATCAAAGTTTCGTGCTATTTGGCAGTCATCAGTCAACAAGGCGTATCTGCAACCTTGGGTTCGAATCTCATAAGGTATATAAGTTCCTTCGACGTTGCAGATAAGCTTTGTTGACTGATGAGTGCCAACTGGCACGAAACCTAGGTCAGTAAGGCAAGGCTTCCTGCGGCCGATTGCCTCCAACCACTTTATACCAATAATTCACAGTGCATCGTGATGGTGAGCTACCTAGCCTGATCGTGACTGACTCATAGAATTCAGTCTACAACAAAAGAAAGGACTAGATACACACACGCACACACATTACACTAGCTACTAACTAGTGTCCAGTCAAAAAATGCTATGCATCTTGATGGCTGTTAGTGACATGATGTGTTCTGATTTTGATTCCTTTAAGATCTAACATACTTTAGGAAATCATCAGAAACCAAGGGTCACTGAACAGATGCTTCTTCATAGTCTAGTAGCTGTTAGAAGTAGACGTCAACGACTTCATCCGGGATCGAGACCATGATCTGGGGCACAGGTATTCACTTCAGAATGGTCTGAAGCTATGACTAAGCAATCGCCAATTGCTCCTTTGTTTCCAAGGGTTCTCTAACTGATGTTGATTCGTGACAACGTTGGCAGTAAAGTTGACCAGAATCCTTATTCTTGCTTTCATCGGCAGAAGACACATCGGCTGGCTGACTGGCTTCCCGAAGGTTTTCACCAGCCTGCTGTGTCATTTAGCTTCTCCATTTCGATGAAAGAATAAAACTGTTATTTGAATTGTTTGTATTTTTAATATTTTTCTATGTGTTTTGGATTTTCTCTAGCAAGCCAGTTAACTAGCCGTCGCATGACATCACGCAATAGGCCCTCTAGTGGAATCCAAATGAGAAGCGACGAGTGGGCTGTCATTGCGAGGGTGACATGGAGGAGATCGTGTGGCGAGGAGGAGGAGATGAAAGATTATGGTCAGTGGTGGACCCACCTAAAGAGAATGGCAGGAAATAGAAGAAAGTGGAGATGTGTTGCTGAAGCCCTACATTCTACTCGGAACCCAAGGGAATAATAATAATCATAAAAGTGAATCGCAATCTATACTTGTGCACAGTTTCAAATATGTTTCTGCTTGCCGCCTAGAAATTTTTCGAAGGAAATGAAGGAAGAGCATTGTGAAGTAGTACTGGAGCAAGGTTTAGATGGGAACAATATTGCTTCAGGTGATATTGTAACAACAGAAGACAAGGGCCAGGCAACAGATCGTTTATTATGGAAAATCAACACGTATTTATAGATTTTGATGTACATTATTGTAGGTAAATGTTAGTAGAAAATACAGTCTGTTGATTGGTTGTTTCTCACACAAAGTTAACCTTGCATCTCTTGTGGCTGTGTCAGTTCATCTATATGTTAACTGTATCCGTCTGTCCAGCTTGACCTTTGACCTCAATTACTGTCAACCAATTTGGCTAGCAACCATCTCTCACCACAATATCGGTTATTATAAATAATCTGAAGATTCTGCACAAGCAGTAAATGTCTTGGCTATGAAACTTGCTGAAAATTCTGTATTGTGTCTAAATGTATTTTTTAGAACAAAGCTATTATTATTATCATTACTAAACTAGATATCTAGGTTGCTTTAAGTGGTGAAACAAAGCATTTCACTTCTGATTCTGTTACTATCCGACATCATTAGAGAAGCATTGGAACCACCTAGTCTTAGTTCAGAATTCTACAGAACTAAACAATAATTCTACCTGAGATCGAAACCAGGTTATGGGTCACTGGAGTCTACTGCTGATTAGTCCGAAACTAGGACGAAGAAGTTACTCAGTGTTCCACGTACTTTCGAGGAATTTCTGACTGGTGTCAATTAGAAACAAATTCTGCTCTGAAATTAAAAAATATTATGTTTTCAAGAGTTGGTTTGTAATGGTTAGATTTGTTTTTTAACAGTTTGACCGCAGATCGGTTTCAGTTAGAGAACCACTGAAAGCCACCAGCTGGGAGGATTGAACAGCTGTTTCGTCCATCCCTGGTTTTAGAATCATCGGCAGTACGCACCCACCGTCAAAGTTCGAACCCAGGACCTTCCAGTTAAAGGCAAGCTCGTATACCATTCAGACATTGGGATTCAATTCATTGGCCAGCCAGAGCATGGATTCTAACTTCTACCAGTTCATGATATGACGAGCTCGCCTCGTAACTGGTAGGTCCTGGGTTCGGATTCTGATGGTGGGTGCGTGCTCCCTATGATTCCCAAACTAGGATGAAAAAGCTGTATGGCAGTTTTCCCCGATTTTCAATGGTTCTCTACCTGATATCAATCCGTGGTCAAACATCATGCGTTTATCGGAGTACGATTTTGGGAATTTATAACTTTAAGAATATTAATTCAGAATTTGAGAGCATACTGAGATGTATAAATGACTTACTGTGTTAAAATCACAACGTACTATTGGTTTCTTATACACAGCTTTGGTAGTTGATGCATAAAGTTTAGCTTGAATTATAAAATAAGTAAGGAGAATTCATGCTGTTAGAATTTAGTTGATGGATGGTGACGTAGGAAGGTGTAGACTTCCTGACTGGTTGGGGTCCTCGGAACGGTAAAAACCAATGGTTGGAAACAATTGGTGACATGGCTCAAAATTGTTCTCAATGGCGCAGATGCATCCACTCCTTGTAACTTATGATTTCCATTTAGACTGTTTTGTTCTCCGTTATTACTATTCCTTTGTCTCACACCTCTGTTTACTATCTATATGATACAATTCTCCTACTTTCTTCTCTTGCTTTGTGTGCTACAAGGAGGGAGTGTGGCGACTTGAACTGCCGCGCATATGTGCAAAGTTCTATGTTGAAAACCAACCGACCGACCGACCGGATGGTGACCAGCAGTGGAATCCACTAGAATGCGCATTTAATCCTATTTGGGACTCCTCAACTAGCTGGATGTACCTGCATTCCCCAGTGAGTGATGATATTCCCACCAAGGCTCGAACCCAGTGTCCATAGCCTCAAACGCCAAAGAGTTATGCACTAGACCACTTAGGCAACGAGACCGAACACTTCGGTCCA